TTCAATTGAGTAAGTAAGTGACATCTTTACCGTGAAGCATCTGGATCAATGAAATGCTGGGAGAAGCTGTTTCAGGGTATAGATCCACTCAAGGCTGTTCAAAACAGTCCAGATGATGCACAGAGGCACGTTTTCCAACACGTATATGACAGTCGGGGCTGTCGTAGCCTAATGGTTAGAGAGTTGGACTTGTAACCCAAAGGTCGTGGGTTCGAGTTTCGGTACCGGGTGTGTGTTCACAGTGTGTGTGTGTGCACTTAGATTGGAGTAAATGCAGAGCACAAATTCCGAGCATGGGACACCGTACTTGGCTACACGTCACGTCAATTTGACTTGCACTTTCACCTTACAGTTCAATCCCTCATAATGAAATATGAGGCTGGAACCCCTGTTTTGCAACTGTACCTTTAAGAGTTTGTTTAAATAACATCTTTTGTTATTGATGCTTTGATCTCTTAAGTTTTAAAATTCTAAAATCTAGTACATTGAACACTTTATTTAAAGGAGTCATATGATGCGATTTCAAGTTTTCCTTTCTCTTTGGAGTGTTACAAGCTGATTGTGCATAGATAAGATCCCTGAAGTTGCAAAGACTAAAGTCTCAAAACCAAAGAGATATTCTTTATCAAAGTTAAGACTCTGCCACGCCCCCCTAAAACGGCTCGTTCTAACACGCCCCCACATATCTACCTCACTATGTGGAAATATTTGCATAATGCGCCCAAATGTTCACGCAAAGAAAGAAGGCGTGGTTTCAGTAACCACAGTTAGTGTTGAAGCAGCATGTCAGGGAGACGCTGTGTGTTTCTAGGCGAAAGCAAAAGCACTTTATTTGGCCTTCCGAAAGTAGATGCATTTAGGAATCTTTAAGATTACTTACAACAGAACAGCAATGCATTTTATGGACGACCGTTTCGTGAACCTAGGAGAGGAGGTAATTCTAACTTTGCTATGACAATCTGGCGCTTCTGAATCGGCTACTGTTTTGTTATTAGTTTAAGTATTTGCTATTGACTGTTCAAATGCGAAGTTTTGCGCATCGTGTTTGTGTGTGTGTGCGCGAACGAGTGAGCGAGTGAGAGAGAGAGCGTGAGAGAGCGAGAGAGAGAGAGACAGCGTCACATCACAGTGGAGTCATGCGAAGTTTTGCACATCGTGTTTGTGTGTGTGTGTGCGCGAACGAGTGAGCGAGTGAGAGAGAGAGCGTGAGAGAGCGAGAGAGAGAGAGCGAGTCACATCACAGTGGAGTCAGCTGTCTTAACCGTGGCTTGTGTACTGCAAACACATACCAGCGTCATCACCCTTTAAAAAGATAAAAGATAATTTTTTTTATTTTTGAATCTCTGGAAGTTCTAATATTGTAAAATCTAAATAAAAAATTTAATTTTTAAAGTAAAATAATTTTTTAAAATTTAAATTAAATTGTGTTACTTCAAAAGGCCAAGTAAAATTAGTTTAAGTATTTTTTTTAATCTCTGAAAGTTCTGAAATTCTAAAATCTAGTACATTGCTTTTTAAAAAATCAAGGACATTTTTATTAATTAATTTATTTTTCCATTTTTGAAGGTTCTAAATTTCTAAAATCTATTACATTGAACTCTGTTATTTTAAAGGATCAAATATTTATTTATTTATTTATGTTTCTTAAAAATATATTTTTTAATCTTTTTCAAAAGATTTAAGTTATTTATTTATTTATTTTTAATTATAAAATCTAGTACTGTATATTGAACACTGTTATTAATTCAGAAGATCACAGACGTTTTTGTTTTTAAATTTTTGAATCTCTGGAAATTCTAAAATTCTAAAATGTAGTTCATATGTTATTTCAAAAGATCAATAAAACATTTTTTGTTTGTTTGTATATTATTTTGGAATTTCTGAACATATTTTTTAAATGTAGTGCACTGAACTCTGTCATTTCAAAATATCAAGGAAAATTATTATTATTATTATTATTATTTGAAGCTCTGGAAGTTATAAAAATCTAAAATCTATTCTATTTAACTTTATTTCAAAAGATGAAGGGAAATGTTATGTTTTCATGTGACCTCTTTTTAAAACCAATCTTTGAACACTGTTGACCCGGCGCTGACAGATGCAGCCCACTTTCGTGTTCATATGAAGTTGTGGAATGAGAGCAGTAGTGGGACCTTTATGAAGCTCAACACACAGGCAATTATTCTCACAAGTGGTTCAGGGACCTTTACAGGTGTTCCACAAACGCCTGCGTCAGCAGATGCTGCCGCGCAACAGGGAACACACACACACACACACACACACACACGACTGCAATGCTAATTCCTCCGCTCTGACCTGCTTTCTTTGTTTTGCCTAAATCATTCCATCATTACTGTTCTCTTTCTGTTTCTGGAAATAACACAGTTTGAGGGATGTTTGGCTCGTCAGTGTTAACTAATGATCTGAGGCTGGGATTTGGGGGTCGTACATTGCTTGAAGAACATGGACCTGGCTTAGAGCAATGACAGAAAACATGAAAGCTATTATGCTGACATTGATGTTTCTTCAACAACCTGTTTGGCCCTTTTAGAAAATGAACTTAAAGGGATAGTTCACCCAAAAATGAAAATGTGATGTTTATCTGCTTACCCCCAGGGCATCCAAGATGTCGGTGACTTTGTTTCTTCAGAAGAACACAAATGAAGATTTTTAACTCAAACCGTTGCAGTCTGTCGGTCATATAATGGAAGTGAATGGGAATCACAGCTTTGAGAGTCAAAAAAACATACACAAACAAAACCAAATTGATGTGTAAATACACAAAACGATTGGTATGTGCAAGAAACTGAACAGTATTTATATTGTTTTTTACCTCTGATGCACCACAATGTCTGAACTGTCCTGAGCGCATTCTCAACAGCTGGCGCGTGACGCGTCTTCTTCTTCTTGCTTTACGGCAGATCGCAGACTTATAAGTGCATTACCGCCACCTATCTGTCAAATGGACCTCTATCTACAATCTCAATTAGGAGTGTCAATGGTCCATTTGAGAGATACTGCAACGGTTTGAGTTAAACATCTTCATTTGTGTTCTACTGGAGAAACAAAGTCACCTACATCTTGGATGCCCTGGGGGTAAGCAGATAAACATCACATTTTCATTTTTGGGTGGACTATCCCTTTAAACAAATTTTCACCCTCTTACTTGGTCTTTTCACAGGAGATTTTCCCCGTGTGATTTGATGAAGATTTCCACCACAATCTAAAATGAACATGCCTTATGTGGTGGAAATTAAATGTTATGAATAATGCTATTTCATAGCATTTTATGATTCCTAAATAAATGCAATTAAAGAATATTATCAGACTTTTGGCATAATTTGACATAATCACAGCTTGATCAAATGATATTTACCTATTTGATCTCAAGCTCTTCCCATTTGTAACAGTGATATTTTAGTATCATTGCGATACTATTATAGTTAAAAAAAAAATTATATTTTCATTTTAGTGATTTTTGTTGTGTTTTTAACATTATTATTATTAAGTTTAATTTAATTTTATTTCAATTTTAATTGTAGTTCAGTTTTTTTTCTGCTTAAATTAAATGTTGCTTTGGCAAGTAACTGAAACAAGTTTTTCGGCTAATATATATATATTTTAAATATGTCTATATAGTGTTTATTTTTTTAATTTAAGTTTTACTTAATTTATTACATCAAGTTAAACTGAACTGAAAAAATATATATATTTTTCCAGTTACCCTAATTTATATTATATTATTTTATATTAAGTCTTTCCGTTTTAATTAACTATAATTGTATATTATATTTTTGTATATATAATTTGTAACCTTGTGCACTAATCTTTGATAAAACTTGTAAATGCAATTTATAAATGTATAAAAATGGCTATAAATCATTGTCACACAATACATTTTGAAATCATTTGTCTATTTCACTCTTTCACAATTGATATTGTCCTGATATAATTATCATTTTAAAGTCATTTAAAATAATTCATAACCCATGACCTGTTTTCTTGGGAGTAGCTTACCTCATGTAGTAGCTAGCTGACTTTGACGTTTATGGATTATGCTGATGATTTCACCCATTCAAGGTATATATTGTTATGTTTGGTATATCATTTATACTTTATCAGTGTTCATTTAGGTGTATATCTTTTTTTGAGTATACTCTGTGTTTTGGACTACAACAATCTGGACTTGGCAAAACATGCAGTTGAGTACAAATGACCAAAGAACCGTTAATCAAGAGTGATGAACAAGTTATTTATCCTGTGATTTTCTTTGTCTTTGTTCTCTCCTGGCCTCATTTTTTCTTGGATATTGATAAGCTGTTACAGTGTGTGTTGAATAACCTTGGCATGGCTCGTATCGGTGAATGTTTTGTTCTCCAGAGGATGCTTAGTCAGTTTGCTTGTGTTGAAGTCCTGTGAAACTGGCAGTCTTGTATTTTTATTTAAGTTTAAAGCAGTGTTATTTTACTGTTATTTATATACTATATAAAAAAAATATATATATTTTACATTTTTCATAGTTTCAGTTTAAATTTAATTTAATTTATTTTTCTTTTTAAATTATTATTATTATTATCATTATCATTATTATTTGTAATTTTGCTTTTGTATTTTTTTATTTTTTATTATTATTTTGTAATATTTCTATTTAGTTGTAAATTAATTGTATTGTATTTCAGGTTTAGTTTTTTTTTTTTCCCCCCAGTTGGAAATTGCAGTGATTCAACTTCAACTAAATGACAATCAGAAATGTTGCCTTGGCAAAAAAAAAAAAAAAAACTGAAATAAGTGTGTTTTTTCGTCTAATATTTATATTTGAATTTATTTCAACCTAATTTCAATGAACAAAAATGCTTACATAGTTTCAGTTTTAGATAATGATGATAACCCTGGTTTAAAGAAGTGACATGATACTATGCATTAGTGCATTACTGCTGAAAGTGCTATAGATGAAGAAACTTCCTCATTTTCTTTACATTTCTGTCTTTTTGTCTCTGCAGTACAAACAAGTGGAGCAGTACATGTCCTTCCACAAACTTCCAGCAGATTTCCGACAGAAAATCCACGATTACTATGAGCACCGTTACCAGGGTAAGATGTTTGATGAAGAAAGCATCCTAGAGGAGCTGAACGAGCCGCTCAGAGAGGTGAGTGTGTGTGTGTGTTTGGTTATCTGTGTGTTTGCAAAGGTCTGTCTATGTCTGTAAACATCTGTGGAAAAAATCTCCCAGAAGGCCCTGCAGTTTTCGCAGAGCTTTCCAAAACAATGAAACCACGCTGAAGCGGGAACGGCTTCCAAACTCATTTGTGTCACAGTAAACAGATAAATCCCTTCTGAGAATGGCTTCCAGCTTTCACTGCATTTAATGCTGTTTTAAGAGAATATAAAGCTCCTAACAAACATTCAGCTACTTGAGTATAGATGTTTATGCTTTCATATGATTCATTATGGCTGAATTGCACCAATACATTTCTGGGTCAAATTTAACCTCATAATCAAATTATATATTACATTACAACAATTATATTCATTACAACAAATATTAGGCTATAATATACCATAATAACAAGTTGTAGTTTTTCCACGCAAATTGATGATGATGAGGATTATTATTATTACATCTTCAGATAAATGGTATTTTTTATATTAGCATAAAGTAATTTCCATACCAAAATTACTAGACTATACAATAATAATGCAAAAATTTTTTCATGCAAATTATTATTATTATCATTAAAATATGTATTATTATTATTTAAAAAAAATTATTTTATAAGCATAATAAATCTGCTTCTGTTTTGCTGTTTCATAGCATTTTATGATTCCTAAATAAATGCAATTAAATAATTTTTTAAGACTTTTGGCATAATTTGACACAATTACAGCTTGATCAAATGATATTTACCTATTTTATCTCTCATATTTTATCTCAAGCTCTATTTCTTAAATATGTCTTGTATTTTAAGTTTAAAATTTAATTTAAAAAGTGTTATTTTACTGTTATTTATATACTATTACCGTTTTTATTAATATTTAGAATTTTCTTTTATTTTTAATAGTTTCCGTTTTAATTGTATTTATTTTTATTTTTAAATTATTATTTCTAATAATTCAAATAATTATATTTATAATAATTAAATAACTAAATACAATTTAAATAAAGATAAAAAAAATATTAGGCTAGAACATACTATAAAAGTACTTTAATTTTCTGTTTGCAAATTATTATTATTATTAAATCATTACAACAAATATTAGGCTATAATATTTATTCACGTATTATTATTATTATTATTACATTTTCAGGTACATTTATTTTTATTTGCAAATTACCATTATTATTATTATTAATATATTTTAAAATAACATTAAGTATTATTTTAGTAATTATATTAATATTATTTAAAATATGTAATGTTATTTAAAAATATCATTTATCCATCCATCAACTTTTCTTGACCGTTTTCATGTGATTCACCCTTATGTTTATGTAAATGCTGTGTATGTGAAATATGAGTTTATGTATTTCTCTCACCCTCTGGACTTCTTTCCATCTGCTTCAGGAAATCGTGAACTTCAACTGTCGTAAGCTGGTGGCCTCCATGCCCCTGTTCGCCAACGCCGAACCCAACTTTGTGACAGCCATGCTGACGAAGCTCCGTTTCGAGGTCTTCCAACCAGGCGACTACATCGTCCGTGAGGGAACCATCGGCAAGAAGATGTACTTCATCCAGCACGGCGTGGTGAACGTGATTACCAAAGGAACGGTTGGCATGAAACTTTCCGACGGCTCCTACTTCGGAGGTACGATGCCACTCAAATTAACCTCATAAATTAGATGGGAATGAAACCATCACTTTACTTAATTAAACTGCTCAAATCCTTATTGAACCCCATAACATTTAAGCCAGATATGGTGTGACCCCTTCTATGTTAGTCCTTTTTACGTATTGTGATTATTTCGAAGGTAAATGAATTGAACTTTAAAGGCACATTCGTGTTCGCAATCAACATTTTTTGCTTTTACTTCATGCATCTCATCCAGTCTGAACTTGAGCTCATTATTTAGATCTCATTGTGATTTAAAAATCTGAATTTAAGCACTCATTATTCTCTAGCCTGTGTTTCTGACATCGTTTAATGGACCATTTGTATTTTCCAAACGTTTAAAGGTGAAGTGCATAATTTCTGCTGCATCAAACTGAATATAATTTTTTCCCCCAAACATTTCCCCATGTGCTAACCTGAAAGATATACCTGTCCCTCATCTGTTGAAATGAACAGAGCAATGTTTTGAATGCACCTCAGTTTGCACTCTTCAGGAAGAGGTTTACTTACAGTCGTTTCTGAACATTAAAATTGCATGAGAGACAGTTTTTTAACATTAAAATGATATGCTTTTCAGTGTCATCAGCGAAGCTGCTCCATCTTGAGACTGAAGGCCTGTTCACACGAGAACGATAACTTTAACTTTAACTACTGTATATTCACAACAACAGACGGTAGCACTGTTTATTCTAAACATGCATTTCAGTTATTTTCTGTGCACATAAATGCAGTCAAATGGATTTTGATTGGCTGATGATTTTTCTTTGTTTATCAGCTGGAAAAAAAATTGATCTGAAAGTGATTCTAACCATATCGTTCTTCTGTGCCGTTATCATATAATTATGGTGTGAACTTGCTATTCTCTTATATAATGGTTATAGTTATCATTCTTATGGTGAAATCACTTTTAGCATTGTTCAGCCATTTTTAATGGACAAAATCATTTCAGCAAGAATGCATCAATTTTTAAATGAAACGTCTGAGACAAATTTGATACTTTACACTGGAATTTTGCATGAGGATGAACATTTTTCTAGGCAGATTTTGCAGCAGATTCAAGTCTGCCAATACTAAAATTTTGCTAATGAGACAACTAGGGTTATTATAGTTAACCAAAACTAAAACCATTAAAAAATATATATATACATAAAAACAGAAATAAAATATAATAAAATCCTAAAATACCTTTTTATATATATATATATATATATATATATATACACACACACAATTAAAACAATTAAAATAAACTGTTATTTATTTTTAAAAAACTAATAAATATTACTAAAACTTTGACAAAAATTTAAATGAAAACAGAAAATTTTAAACTAATTTAAAATATTGCTCAAATTATAATAGTATCTCAATGGTAGTAAAATAACACATTGACCACACCTTTAATGTGAACAGGCCTTAACAGCGCATCCTAACCTCAACTGAAACAAGTTATGCTTGTTTATTTGTGACACGCACAGTAAACATTTCAAAACCAATGAAAGCATTTTTGCTTTTAGTGTGGATAGATTAAGTATTGCTGAAACGTGTCGTGTTGCTCCTTGTTGGGACACTGTTTTTGCTTCTTAAGTTGCAAAAGTTTCTGAATCCTCTGGAAAGCAGAAGTACAGCAGCAGCGTTGAATTAAATTGTGATGGTTATGAGCTGACGGAGAGATCCAGAGGGAGTGTGATGCTGAGGAGAGGAACCCGATCCCTCTGCAGCCTTAAATCCGCATGAGTCAGCCGATCTCAGCTGCAGAGGGCAGGAGGCTCTGGAAGAGGCTCTCGGCGCGTGACCTTGGAAAGGTCAAAGACGAACTTATGTCTTGTGTGGCCTGAGATCAAGGAAGGAAAGAGAGAAGCCGCCTGATCGTGTGTGTGTATATATATATATATATATTATACATTTATTTTTTAAATGAATACATTTACTTAATAAATGTAAAAAGAGTAAAAGAAATTGTAAAAATGACTAAAAAAAATCATTAACAATTTTTAATGATTGTTTTGTCTTTTTCTCCAGAAAAACATCAGACAAGCATAGGAATTTACATACAATAATCTGTTAAAAAATATTTTTATATTTTCTGTTTTGTCTTTAATTTTAGTTAAACTTTGAGGTATTTTGTTTGTGCGGTTTTGCCATTTTAAAATAGGCTTTATTATTATTATTGGCTTTATTATTTATTAGATTTTTTTTTTGTTTATTTAGTTATAATTATTTTAGTAAAACTACAATTAAAATAAAACAAAATGAGAAATCTTGGAACTAGCTGAAAAATAATAACTTAAATTTTTATTGTATTACAGTTACGGTTTATTTTAAGTAACAGAATTTTTTTTTTTATGTTTTAGTTTTTGTTGACTATAATGAACCTAATTTGCTCTCCATTTATTGTCTAATAGACTTTTCTTTATGGCTTGCAGTAGCATTTGTGTATATGTGAGTGCATTTTAAAGGTGTATAATCAGAAGAAAGAACAAATTAGATGCAAATGAGGTGCTGTTCTCATGTGGTCGTCCACACAAGAGTGTTTGTGTTGCACCGGTGCGTGAGTGCATGTGTGTGTTCACCTTTATGTCCGTGCCTGTGATTGTGGCTTTAATTTACTGCCTTTGGTTTGATGAATGACCCCGGCTCCGGATGAACGCCGCTGGATGACGAAGTTCTCTAAAATGCACCAAGGCTTCCAAGGTTGTGAATTGGATTTTCTGGATTGATTTGAGGAGCAGACAGGGAAATGGACCGAACACACAGAGGACCCTGATGGATGGGTCAGGACTTAATGCACAGAATGACGCACAGCATGCACGATGAATGATGTTTATTATCTTCGGAGGCTCTTATGGGTTATTTCTCTCCCATCCTGAGGAGCTAGATGTTAGTTGTGTTTCAGTATCATATGGGGTCAATTTAATCCTAGAGAACCTGTGAGTGTGTGATCCTCTAAATATAGACACAAAATAACCTTGAACACTCACCGTGAAACAAGGCCATATATAAATGTGTGTATGCATGTGTGACGTACATATGCTACCAGTCAAGTTTGGAATAATGAAGATTTTTAATGTTTTTAAAAAGAAGTCTCTTCTGCTCACTAAGGCTGCATTTATTTGATCAAAAATGCAGTAAAAACAGTAATATTGTGAAATATTATTACAATTAAAAATAACTGCTTTCTATTGCAATATTTTTTTAAATGTAATTTATTTCTGTGATGCAAAGCTGTATTTTCAGCATCATTACTCCAGTCTTCAGTGTCACATGATCCTTCAGAAATCATTCTAATGCTATAATTTAAAAATATATTCAAATAGAAAACAGTTATTTTAAATTGCAATATTTCACAATGTTACAGTTTTTACAGTTTTTTTTTTTTGGCAGCCTTGGAATGGAAGCTTTTTTCCGATGTTTTTCTCAGAGTTGCAATTTGCAAGACTTTTTTTCTTCTTCTGTGGAACACTTGTTTTCTTTTTGTTCATGCAATGAAATTCAATGGGGTCCAATGTCGTTTGGACCCCAAATGTTCTTCAAAATATCTTTTTGTGTTCCACAGAAGAAAGTTAAACAGGTTTGCAATGACAAGAAGGTGAGTGAATTATAACAGAATATCCATATAAAATAGGATACGGGAAAGTACTTTAGTGCTGAAATAATTACACCCTTCATTTTTAAGACATGAGATCTCAATAAAGCAAGAAATTCGTCATTTTGTAATAATCATTCAAATCACATACTTGATAAAGTTTTTTAATTACTTTACGCATGCAGATATTTAAATTCATTCCCTGTTCTACGGAGGACTCTTCAGGGTTTCAGTTTTCGAGTCATTTAAAAACACTTGGCATCTAGAAAAGGTCACAAAGTTCCTTTCCCCACATGAACAGCAATATCAAGATGTTTTTGAATTATTCTGGTGTGTTTTTTCCTCTCTGTCAGAGATCTGTCTGCTGACGCGAGGCCGTCGGACGGCGAGTGTGCGAGCGGAGACCTACTGTCGCCTGTATTCGCTCTCCGTGGACAATTTTAATGAGGTTTTGGAGGAGTATCCCATGATGAGGAGGGCCTTTGAGACCGTGGCCATTGACCGACTGGACCGCTTGGGTAAGCGAAACCTGAAACACCTTCTCGAAGAACAAAAATGTGAACATTTTAATGCCTTAAAGGATTATTCAGGGTTAAATACAACTTAAGCTTTATGGACGGCATCTGTGTTGATTACCACTGGACATAATATTGACTTGTCGATAATGTTGAGCTCGTAAAAAAACAACAGAAAACCTGTAAACAGTAATGCACTTGTCTCTTTGACTTCTAATGTAATTGTTCTGGTGGATTTAAAAGCAAAAATGTGGATTTGATCTGACGTGTTACTTAGCCATGTACAGTATAAACAATTAGCACAGTCCTTTAACAGGGTAACTGATAGATATTCAAGAAGTAAATAGCCAGTAAAAGATTCAGTCTTTTTTGCTCAAATCTGTTATAGTTTTAATAAAGATCCTGTGGATTCTGCATACGAACAGGAAAATTGCTCACAGCAGGCGATTTGAAATCCGACTGTGTTTTAAATTCACTGCAGTAAATGGTTTGTTGAAAGCAGCGAGTTTATTACGAAGGCGTTTTTTTAATGGCTGTGATGAATGAATGCTTTAAGAAGGATACATTTATGAACAACTTCTCATAGTGTTTTAGCATGCCAAATACACATGCTGAGATGTTATGCCTCGAAATTGATGTTTAAAGAACTGCTGTTAAAAATATGATAGTATATAGAAAAAAATTGATTAACACATTAAATGATGTCATTAACAGACCAGTCGGTTGTTGGATGACTAGTCAACCATCCTGGTTCATACCTAGTGTTAATTCAGTTGTAAAATCGCATAAATCATCAATTTAAATTTGGACTACTGAATATTCCTTTTGTTCATAGAGCAAGTTGTATCAAGTCTGTATTTTTCCTCTAGACTTTTATTGGAAAGAAAATGCAGATTTTGTCAAGTAGTAGTTCACTAAAAGGTGCTATAGGGAGTTTTCTGTTACTTTTGACCTGTCTATAAGGTGTATCCATTTGAAATGATTTTGTTTTTACATTGTGATTCAGTATGTTTTCTAAACATTTTTTACTTGAACAAAATATTGATAATACTTGAAGAAAATAATAATAATAATAATTAGTATTATTGTTGTTTGTGATAATCATTTTATTATTATTTTTATGTGAAATTTACATAATAGGGCATGAAACTATGATTTTGTTCATTTTTAGCATCAACATGATTATTGAATAAACTAATTATTTAATCAATTATTTCATTATAAATTAAAACACAATTATAAAATAATAAACTGAAACATTAATGTATTTATTTGATCATATTTCTTACAATAAATTTGTCAGCATGTTTGTAGGATTAAGCTTGACAAAGTGGAGAAAAAAAGGGATTATTTACTTGTCTTGCCTTTTCTTTTTTTTCTCTTTTTTTTGAATTCTTAAAATTTGGGATAATTCTGTACTTTTTATGTTAATGGAATGCAAAAGTGTACCGTACCCTTGAAAAATGCCAATTATTTTAATCTCTCATTGCAGGAAAAAAGAATTCCATCCTAATGAACAAAGTGCAGCACGACTTAAACTCCGGCACCTTAAACAACCACGAGAACGAGATGATCCAAGAGATCGTGAAGTACGACCGCGAGATGGTGAAGCTGATTGACCTGCAGCGCCCGCGCTCCATGTCCATGACACCCTCAATCCCTGGCGGGTTCTTTGCTCCGCCTGGCCGGCCTCAGGGCGGCAGCTCTGCCATCGCTTCTCTACAGCAGGCGGTGGCGATGAGCTTCTGTCCCCAGTTCGGTCCGATGGTGGGTCCCAGCACCATGCAGTCACCCCGGATGGTCCGACGGTTCCAGGTAGTGCAAAACCTTGCTAGCCCGGTGATGGTTTCTCCACAGCAGTCTCAGTCGGCGCTTGCCGCGCTCGCTGGTTTTACTATAGCCAGTCCGCCGGTTCAAAGCCCGCTAGCGGCAGCGGGCGGACGAACTTTCCAGTACGGGTGTGGACCGATGGGCACGCGCTCCGGATCGCAGCTGTCCCTCATCCAACAGCACCTCCCCAGTCCCACACGGCCCAAAGGAACCCAACCATTGCAACAAACAGGGAGCCTGACACAGGATGCCAGAGCCCTGTCGGCTTCCCAACCCTCCCTGCCACAAGATGGCGCTCCACCCGTCGCACCCAGTCCGCCACCGTCGACACGCGTCTCCTCGATGTCGATCGGCCCACCTCAAGCACCCCATCCTGCCATCCCGGGGCCTTCCGGGGTCCGGAGCGCAGTGACTCAGAGAATGGCGCTCCCCCACCAAGCGTCCGCGGCCGCGGTTGGGAATTACCCGTCCACGCCGCCCCCTACAGGCACTCCGCCCGCCGTAGTGGGACCGGACTCGGTTATACGCAAGAAAGATTCCATAGTCAGCCTTCCCGAGACGGACTTCACAGCCAGATCCCGGCTATCGTCCAACCTCTGACGAGAACTCTGAGACTCTTTGCGATACTTTTTGTGAGTCACAGTTCGTTCTTTTTGCTCGAGTCCCGCGCTTGAAGGGTGGCTTTTCATAGGAACCAAAGGGAGGGCGTTCAGACAGACTTAAGGTGTGGTCACATTTACCTAAATTTTGTTGGCGAAAGTCATTCCAATAGGAATCCTCGCAGTCACGAGTTTCACGTTGGCAAATATAGCTAATGTGACCTCACCTTTACCGCTAATAGATTTAACATCTCCGCTACGAATAGATTCACGAGGTCGGATGCCTCTCTAGTGCTGCCCCTGTACAGCTTCTGATGCCTCTTAATATATTTGTCTTTATTGTCCCAAGTGAAATGGAGAAATCCTGTTGTGTGTTACGTGGTTTTTTCCGTAGAGTTCATACAATGCAATCGGGCGACTAGAAAATCAGGGACTTGCAAGAGATGACAATGATGAGATTTGACGCTTTGCAAAAGTGTTTTGGAACATCTCCATTCTTTCTGTATAAGCTCTACTTGTAGCAATCTAATTACCTGTGTTTCATTTTGTTGTAAAATATCGATAAAAAAGTATTATGGACCGCTGGTCGATCTTATATCTTAATGTAAATAAGGAGGTAAAAAGGAGGAAAAAAAAAAGTTCTAATAGAAAACACACAAATTGTATTTACTCGAAAACCAAAGTTGAGCTTGAACACAAGTTTTGGTTGTGTCTGTGTCAACTGAGAAGAACAAGTCAAACGAAATCCTCTATTTAACTGCCTTGATTCTGAGTTTAGAAGCCATATACATGGTCTGTGTGTGCGTGCGTGTGAATTTGTGCACATATGCTTATTACTCGTTTAATTTATAAAACTGTTTTAACGAACGGGAGTGTAATGCTTGCATTTTTACGCCGTTTCGTCAGGCGTGTCGATAAAGGCAATACTTCACTGCATCGGGGTTGCACTGAGAGTTGAGACTTGAATGCAACGGGTCGTTTAAATTAGCAGGCAAACCAAAATAATCATGCTGTTTTTTGTGATCCATGTTGATCTGCACATGCAATATAATTCTGCAATATTCTCGCCCTGCCTTTTATACGAAAGCTTCATATCGCAGCATAAGCAATTTAATCAGCATTATTCAGAGAATGTTCAAAACTGGATAAGGTTGCACAGCTTTCGCAATATGTTATGAAATTTGTCCTCGTTTTCTAAAGTTACCTGTAATTTTTGTCACTTTATGTTTGGTGGTCTATGGCAGTTATGCGTTTCAGTGATGGAAACAAGTTTTGTAATGTGTTATGGCTCTCTGTGTTGATTTTTTAAATTACTACAGTCATAATAAATTGTAGTAAAAGTAACAATGATAGTCACAATTTTGAAAAGGTCCGAAAGGTTGGCTGTTCCCGTGTAGACCTTAAAAATGGTCAAAGTTACGTATAAATTAATAATATAAAATAATAAAAAAACTGAGCATTCTATACTTTACAGTTAAACAGTGGCATTTTTATAACATTGTATGTTGTGTTATAAATAGATCCTGATTTGCACAAATTACTGAGTATCTAAAACATGCTGCATATTAATGGCCTGTAAATGTAATACAAAGTTTGTGCGTGGGCTCAGTTTGCAGGCCTGTGAGCGTTGGCGTAATCGTTGATTTGTTGATTGCTTGCGAACAGATGTAAACTATTGGGTTGATTTACGAACTTGTCTCTTTACAAGAATGTAGTTGTTTGTTTCATTGTTAACTGCTGCAGATTTTTCTCACTTGAACTTTAAAATTGTAAATATGATGCTGTACATTATTTTATGTGCAAATACGGGCAGTAAAATAAGAAAAATGATTTTAGAAAAACAAAAACGAGATTGGTGCATAATGGATTTTGAATGTATGCCAAGTGGCATTATTGATGTGACCTTAATATAAACAACTGCCATGTAAATAGATCAGTAATAATTCATGCTAAATGGAAATTGTGTGTATTTGCCGATTATTTGTAGCGATCACGTCTTAAGTACGTCAGATACGTCTAGAACGCTTTTATTTTTTTGAGGGTGCGTTCACACTTGTCATGTTTGGTTCGATTAAAACGAACCCTGGTGCGATTGCTCTGTTAGTGCGGTTCGTTTGAGAAAGTGTGAACGCTGCCATCCGAACCCTGGTGCGCACCAAACAAGCGGACCAAGACCTCTGAAAAGATGGGTCTCGGTCCGCTTCCAAACAAACTCTGGTGCGGTTCGATTGAAATATGAACGCAACATGGACCAAATACTTCTAAACGAACCAAAAACAGGAAGTAATGACGAGATGCGACATGATTTGACGACGCAGTGTAACCAAAACAAAATGAGCAGAGGGCAAACGTGGAGCAACGATGAGGTAAAGTGCCTTTTATGAGTTCCTTGTGAGTTTGCAGGTGGTGAAAATAAAATTATATATACACGCAAGAATGAGTGCGCTTAGTCCAGCAGACGGCATAAGGTGTGTTCGACTAAAAGTGGCGCTGAGCAGACCGATCGGTTAATGGATGCTTTGATATCATACACCCGCAGCGCCGCTTTCAGTCTAACGCACCTTTTGTTTGGGGTGTTCGGTGAGTTCCGTCACGATATATACGTCATTCAAGCCGACCAATCAGGTTGTGAACGTATCACTATGCCTTTAGTTTCGGTGTCAAAAATGCCAATGTGAACGCTAAGTGGACCAGGACCAACTGTATCATTTTCCTTTTTGGTCCGGACCAAATTAAACAAACGAACCGAACTACAAGTGTGAACGCACCCTGAGTCTTGTTTCTCTAATGCTGATCCATCTGTGGATAATGGTAACACAAAGCACACTGTGTCCCATTAGCGCCCTCTATAGGACAGGTATCATCACAGTCCCCAAATTGCACTGGATGATTTTGAGATTATGGGATTTGTGCTATTGAAACTGGCAGCTTAGTCAATTAAAACAAAAACAAACAAATAGAAGTTTATGATTGACATTCCCTGAAATAATAGTGTATTGATTTGTATTGATTTTACAATATACAGAGAGCCTGCATTTACACTGTTGATATGCACAGATCAGATCATGTTGCATGCAAAAGCACAAACAGATCAACAGCAATCATATCTTTTTACATCTGATCTGGGTTACTTTAAAATGTGGTTCTAAATCGGAAATGTATCTGATGTGTCTGGTCATCTGGTCAACATCTAAGCACTTGTGTCCATTGATCTAAAATCAACACTTGGGGCCCTATCATACACCCGGCGCAGCAGCACACAAACATTTTTAAATATAAAAAATTTAATTCCGTCATGTAAATAGTGAACCCGCCATGGCGTGAGTGCAACTGGCTATTAAGGGGATGGGAGATGAGACTCTGATTGGTTTATGGCACGTTACGCCCAAAACACATCCATTACTCATTAAGAGAATAGGGACAACCTTTTTTCCCATCCTTAAATTAGCAAAAGTGGATTCGGACACGCCATAAGCGCAATTGCGCCGTGCGCTTTAGACCATCCGCTTAGATTGTTAAAATAGGGCCCTTGGTGCTTCGCTAAGGTTAGTGAATGCATTGGAATTTCACCATTCCCTGTTGTGTCTTTCAAGCAAAAATGAAAATTTGCTGAAAATGTACTCCCTTTCAGGCCATCCAAGATGTATTGTTTATTCATCAGAAAAGATTTAGAGAAATTTAGCATTGCAATACATGCTCACCAATGGATCCTCTGCAGTGAATGGGTGCCGTCAGAATGAGAGTCCAAACAGCTGATAAAAACATCACAATAATCCACAAGTAATACACACCACTCCAGTCCACCAGTTAATGTCTTGTAAAGTGAAAGCTGTGTGTTTGTTAAAAAGAAATCCATAATTAAGACATTTTTAACTTCAAACCGTTGCTTCCATAATATTGCTTTCTCCAGTGAAAAAAAACATCTTGTCTGAATCAGGCGAAAAACACGCACAGATCAAACCCTGTTTACAAGCCAAAACAGTTTTAAACAAATAAATTGGTGGATTTTTATGTGAGAGGACAACAGGAGATGGACTTTTTAAGTGGAGGAAACATCATGGATTATGGCCAGAAGCAATTATTTAAAAGTTAAAACACCTTAATGATGGATTTGTTCCTTACAAAGATGTAGCTTTTGGCTTCACGTGATGTTAACTGATGGACTGGAGTGCTGTGGATTACTAGTGGCTTATTGTGATGTTTTTATCAGCTGTTTGGACTCTCATTCTGACGGCACCCATTCACTGCAGAGCATCCATTGCTGAGCAAGTGATGCAATGCTAAATTTCTCCACATCTGTTCTGATGAAAAAACAAACTCACCGACATCTTGGATCACCTGAGAGTGAGCTAATTTTCATTTTTGTGAGCTATTCCTTTAAGTGAACGTAAATATATCAGATCTGTGCATTAGACTTTGTGTAAATGCAGCACAACACCGCGTCTGCACTGGACAATGATGTGTTGCTGCCTAGACCGGGAGCTAAAAAATCTGCTAGTTTCTTAAAAAAACAACAACAACAATAATAACATTACTGGTATAAAATTAACTTGTAATGGACTAGTGAATTAAATAACTTTTACAAAAGCTCTGTAGTATCAAAACATATAATGCAATGCAATACGATTGCAAAAGCCTGATGGATCATAATTGATACTCCAATTTGAACAGGATTTAAATGATGTATGGATGATGTTCACTGCAAAATGACATGTGTACCATGACTTGAAGGTGGATAATTAGTAGAATTATATCGAAGGCATGTAGTAAATAGTGTGCAACAGGTTTTCCAGCAAAGTTTCGATCATGTTGATCATTTAGAGGCCTTAGAAATTTGCATATCAAATTCTACACAGTAGGCTTAAATACATACATTTACTTGACTTTTATGCTTTTGGCTGATGTTTTTATCCAAAGTGATTTGCATTGCATTTAAGATATAGATTTGATCAAATCATGCATTCCCTTGGAATCAAACCCATGACCTTGGTGTTGCAGTGCCATGCTGTTTGAGCAACAGGAATGCAAGAAATTGTATTTTTTTTATATCAGACTGAGTGGAAAAACTAATTGTCTGAAGAAGCCATGCAGCACGGCAAAAATAGAAACAGGGCGTTTGTCAACTGATGGCATTGTAAACAGCTCTGTTGATTATAATGGCAGCTCATTGGTTTTAAAATTTGGCGGTGCGACGCTCACATTCAGTGTAGATGCGGTTTAAAGGCATACATTTCAATCAAACCTAAAAAAACTCCAATAAAGACAGCAAACTGAACCTCCACACACATCTCCTGTAAAATAAGAGTCTGATGATATTAAGCTGAGAAAGGAAGCTTGGAAATGACAGTCCGTCGACCGAATGGCTCGATGAAACGTTATCACAGGATTGCAATGTAATCTCTCTTCTTTGGTTTCTCAGTAAAGGCACATTCTGTTTCCTGCGAATAAACCTTTCAGTTCTGCTAGGGATTTATGTTCTTTTGCCCAAGGACACAAACCGCGCTTTAATTGGTCTTAAGCGTTGGTCGATAAGGATAGGTATGGCAGTGAACGTATGCCAATAACTGGACCGTTTTATTTACATATGTACACACATTTGCATATGTAATGGTTTTAGCTCTAATTAAGCTGCCGTCTGATTGTTCGAATGGAGATCGCAGCCAAATGTAAGTATTTTAACGTCACTCCACGGCAGATTCGTATAGTACCCGTTCACACTCTCACGCAGGCCTCGTCTGCCGTTAAGTCATCTGTGTGAAAACGTGACAGTTTTATTCTGCTTTTCCAGTGCGGAAAGGCTGGCAGATGCGAGCGAGGCAATCTTCCCTGCTAGAGCTTGAAGGACAGGCGGACAGATTTGACTGAACATTCCTCCATATTTCCCAGCATCAAATGTAAATCAGGGTACTTTATGTTTCTGTTATGAAAAATAACTGTCTGTGTCTTTTCTGTTTTGACAATGTGCCCAATGCACAGTGTACTGTAAATACCTTGTGCCTAGTATGTCTAGTTTCCAAATAGTCTATTTTTAGTCGTATGTGGCTCTACGAAAGACAAAATGAAAAATTTGTGTCTTTTCTTTTTTTAAAGGGTATGTTTACCTGAAAATGATTTGCTTTAAG